TATTTTCTTCTTGGAAGAACAAGAATCTGGATCATTGAGTGTAATAGTACACGCAAAAAAGTTCGATTCGACAATGTCAATTCGTCTATTAAAATGATCGCTTTTATCATTTTTTCAGTTTTTGCAATATCTGACATTAATTTTCGTTTTGTGACAGTATGTTCTTATAATACTAAAAATTTCATTGACATCAATGCTTCTATTTAGATCTAAAATTACCAGATTGAAGACAGATTGCATCTTTATTTCGAACTACGGTAGTGAAATACAATCCGAAGAATTGACACCTTTATGTCTCAAAATTTAGAGACGAGAATTCATCACTCTAATTTATACATTCGATAGCATCTGAATGAAAAAAGAACGTTTTTGTTTCCATTAAGCCCCCCCCCCCCCCTCAAAAATCGATCTCAGCCCAGGAACATCCAAATTAGATGAAACTTTCAGGATATGTTGGGACTAGAAAGGGGAGACTACCGTAAAATTTTCAGCCTGAAATCGTCAGGTTTCAAGGAGATATGAGCCAAACAAGGGTCAAAAATGACTCATTTGGCATCCCAAATTTCTCGGTCCTGGTTCGTTCAATATATTAATATTTTTTTTTGTTGGAAAGAGCATCTCAAGATGCAGAGCATGATGGGACCCTTTTTTTGAAATAGTCCTCTTTTAAGCGCAAAAAAGAGATCACAAGTTCAATGGCTGAAAAGAGTGTCAAAAAATGGTAACCAAATCATATAACTGGCTGTATATTGACCAAACAAAGGCTTAATTAAAAAAAAAGGCCTCATCATGCCCTGCGCCTTGAGATGCTCTTTCAAACAAAAAAAAATATTAATACATTGAATTAACTAGGAAGGAGAAATTTGGGATGCGCTTTTGAGAAAGTGGAAACTGAGAAAAAACGGAAAACATTTTTTGATTTTTCAAAAAACAGCTGGTTTTTCGAATAGGGGGTGACGAAAATCTTCGAAAATTTTGGACAAAAAGGAGGTATCGAGGAAAACTTTCTATCAGTTATGAAAGAGCAGATCACGGGCTATCTTCCCATGTATTTATCTCAATTTCGATGATTCTGACGAAAAGTGACTTTTTTTGAGGGGGGGAGGGCTTAACAACTTTTCTTTTTTTCTTTGATACTGAATGGATATCATCGACGACTTCTCTTTCAATACTTAACCGAATGTATTGGTTTTAATTTGTTGATATTATCAATAAAGTATTCCTATGGTAGTCTTTGTTTTACGTTTCGCAATGCCAGTTAATCTTACGACTTTGTTTTATTAATCTGATAGGGATAGTTAACAATCATTGTAAATTGAAGTGAATGATATATCTTAAATTTTATATATCCAAGACAAAAATAATTGCATTTTTATTTGATGACTTCATTTGTCTAATTGACTATGAACAGTTATCGGACAACATGACACTTATTATTATTTTATAAAACATGGAAACACTAGAAAAAAATGCTTAATTTTGTGCAAACAGCTGTACTTAATTTGAGTTCGAATATGAATGAGATTCAAAAACTTAGACAATGAAGTTCAACAATTTACCAGTATCATATGTTAGTGTGATGTTCTCAGCTCAGTTTATTGTGTGTTATTATCTTCTCTCGTTTCTTTGTTGAATTGAGTATTAATAAATGACGTTTTAACCTTCCTTTGACTCTTTCTCTTCACCTTTCGGTCTCTTTTCTTCCTCTTCTATATCTTGGTTGCATATATAAACGCATTCTTTGCATGTAAACGAGGCGACTTTATGATATGGAGAAAAAGAATAAAGCATAATCCCACCTATAGTAACACTTCTTCTATCAGAAAGCGTTACAATTAGTTCGTATTGCATTCATTTAATGCTGCCTAGTGGCTTAAATTCGACCTAACAAAATAGATCCAACCCAAATCAATATAATTTGGTGATATAATATGAGGAGAAAATTCTGCGAGTGATGCAAATACTGACATTTAATGTCTGACTGAATTTGAATTTCTCACTCGCAAGAAAACTGAATCTAAAGTTTACAACAAACGGATTGCATTTTGATACAAATAATAGAAAGTAATTTAGTTCTAACTACATTTGTTAAGATGTTATATTTGCTATTGAAATTATGCTGTTAATTACAACAATAAGTGATTTCTTTTTAATTGCAGATTTTGTTCTTTGATATTTACTTAATAAACCGATGCTTTTTGAAGATTTTAACAGCATCTTATAAAAGCGTCAAAACATGAACCAGAGCTGAAGTCAAATTCAGTTTCAATTTTTTTGTTGAACTCCGATTTTCTTTCTATGTTCAGAGACCTTGATAAGACATTGTTTGAACCTTCAAAATGCATCAGTTACTACAGCAAATATCCGAGAACAAACTCAACGATTCCAAAAATTTCCAATGTTAAAACTAAGTTTTCAACAAAAAAATCTTTATTTGACTCAGAAATTGACTCTGTACAGATCCTTAATATCGATACAATACTATCGATAAGTATTTCGATATTTGAACTTACCAGAAAAGCTAAAATCTGTTCTATCTCTATGTATACATCAGTGGAAACATTATGCATAATTTGTTTTTAGATTGATGATTTTAGCCTCTTGCAATATGAAATATGGCGATTTTCGATGGCTTTTCTAACCTGTTAGACATATTCTTATGTCAAAGGTGACGAATGTATCAACAAAGCTCGTAAGCAATATTTGAAACTGAAAGTTATGATACATAGTTCAACTTCGACTTTATTTACATAACATTCTTACTTACATCTTGCATGCCAGTTTAAAAAAGTTTATAATCGGATCTTTATTCTTCAATTTTTACCGATCTCCTACCTTTATATACATATCTTTATAATATCGTTTAAAAATTACACGCATCACTATTTATTTGCTCTATGTAAAGTCGTGTGACATTTTTTAATGTTATCGGCAATTCGCTTCATCTATTGAGTAAAGTCGAACTTTTTATTTAAATTTTAAATATCATATTTTCTTATGAATACTTGCGGTGATTGCACTTGCTGATTTCTTTCTTTTTTTATTCGAGTGCAACTGTTATACAAATATAACTTATATTTTTTGTTTTTCTTTCATGTCTGCAGTTAGGTATCTATTCATTCAAATTTTTAACTCATAGTTTTTCGAGAGTACTCTAAGAAATTAGAAATATAGAATTTCGTAATTTTCTTTATAGTCATTAAAATCTTATATCGGAACAGATATCGTCTAAAGTGATCTCTTCCAAAAAGACTTATACTAAACTCTAAATGACTCTCACAGTTGCACCTACACTTATTACATTCTTGCATTGTTATGAAATTCTGTAGCATTTTTACATTTGAGAACGTGCATATATCACCACTGTGTGCAAGTAATCTTTTGACTAACACATTATATCTTTTGATATAGAGTTAATGGTGCAATTTTTTCAATGTGCTTCATAGCCACTGCTGCAAATTGTATACTGGTGTTTTATTGTTATGGTAATGGAATAAATTTCTCCCTCGACACACTGTTCTGGATATGGTTGACTATTACTCCTGATCTTCTTGTTTTACTTATTTTGTATATTTTATTGTTTTGCATTGGATGGAAATATCCTCAACTCAATCGATATGGCATTATGCTTGGCTTATGCTTTGCTGCGTTTATTCTCCTTACTTCATCCTGTAATATTCTAATGCTAAGACTAACAGGTAGGTTCTCTTCCTAGAGTATAGATTTTATTTAATATTAATGCATTCATTTGAATTATCGATTCAGAAAGAAAAAAAACATTTTGATAAATTTGAAGTAGTAAGCAGAGTTTTCTTCCAAAGATGATTTTGATGATGAGAATATTTTAAAATGAACTATGAACTTTTCTATATCTTAAAATCTTAATTTTTTGTCTACTCAGATCGCATCATACAAAACAAATTCGTTCCCATATGTTAAGACTGGAAAATTTTAAATACAATTACTAAAAAGCAAATGTTATCTTCTAACAATAAGCTTTGTTCTTATTAAAAAAAATCAACTAGAAATTTTCAACAAAAAGAGTGTATCCTAATGCAAAGAATATTCTGACTTGTTATTACCATAAGAATCATTACCAAGAAAAAAACTGTCGTACCTCATCCTTACATGAAGATCTAGTATAAGCTATCTCATTTTTTACTAGATAGTTGTTAATGCAAGTGTCTTCATAGATAATGAAATACTGATATTCCAAGATAACTGAATAAATGTAAAGTTAATATGTTAATAGATTTCATGTAATAATTTAAGCAAGTATTTCGGTACCCTCACAGATATTTACTCATAGAAATCGAGAAATTCAAGTTGAACGTTCGTTTTTTAAATGTCAAGAGTTGCATTTTTTTTCTGTCAGATAACATCTAGTGCTGATCATTTCATATTAGAGATTTTAATTAGTTATTTCCATTAATTTGAACTTTTAGAAACGTTTATCCCATCGATAAAAGACTCTTCAAAGTTAAACTATAAGTTCAGCTGAGGATTCGAGCATCATTTAAAAATCTTTTCGGAAGAAAATAGTTATTTGTTTTTTAATCATATTTCTAGAAGAATTGAAAACATGGACTAAATGATCTTATCTAAAAAACAATCTAGGTCGAAATATGGAATGGAATATCATCTTTGAGGTGGACGTGGCAACGACATATAATTTGCATTTGTCACAAATTTCTTCGTTTCTGTCTCTCTTGGTTTCATACTTTCTCATCGGTACTATATTTTGGTTCATCGTGTTTCGTTACATTCAGTCGCATAAAGCTTTACGGTTTGGACACTTCAAGATTATGAAAATATTCGCTTCATATCTTATTCTTACGTATATGCTAATTGTGATCTTCTTTCATCTACCAGAACCATATACAAATCTATCGTCAAACATGGTATTGATATATTTTCCTAAAATGATTTCGCATTATTGAAAAACAAAGCCATTAATACCGTTTCATATAAACGAAACTGCGCTCCATAGTATAACACAAATGATTCGTGCACCAGCCGTTAATATTTCTCGTCCTTTGGTTACTTTGAAAAAGCCTATTAAACATGTCTTCGTCATTGTTCTAGAATCAATCCGTGCCGATGCTGTAAAATCTACTTTCGCATCCGATGCGATTGCTGCTAAGGTGACACCACTTCTCAATTCACTTTGGAAGAATTCTGTTCATACAGTGGCATCAGGCACATCATCGTATACACTAAAAAGTATTGTCAGTATTTTTTGTGGTATCTATCCTCTGAATGTTAATTTTCTCAAAGAAGCAAATTCAGAAAATTTCTTAGATGAAAAATGTTTACCTGAACTACTTCGTGAGACTTTTCGAACGAAAAACAATCAATCAGCATTTCGTTCAGCCTTCTTTACAGCAGCTCGTGATGATTTCGATCATCAGAAAGATTTATTTAACAAGCTTAAATTTGATACCACGATTAATGGTTTTGATATTTATGAAGAGGTAGGATATGTTCCCGATCTTGGGATGTTTGGCCCTGCTGATTCATATATTTTACCTCTAATGTGGAAATGGATTGATAATAATTTGGCAGAAAAACAAACAAAACATTTGATGATCANTGAGATGTTGGCCGACTCAAACGGTCTTTCCTTTCTCGAATTATGGGTTTCACAAGGGACATGACTACTACCTATTATAACTCCGTTCCAACTCGAGCAATTATGACGGGGCTTGTGCCTGCGATCAGCATTCATCATAGAGTATATACATACAAAATTTCAGCTGTCTAGCTCTTATTATGAGTGAAGTTCAGGGGGGTGAGGGACTTTTGGCCAGCACTGTATATATATATATGTGTCGAGTAGTGCTAACGATGATACTGTGTTGATATGACAACGGTCGAGAAAAAAAAGAGAACTGTTATGACCTTAACAAAAGTAAAAATCATGACAGTCGGAAAAAATCTCTTATGTAAAATTTTCGAAATTCACTTCGTTCTATATATGTGACAATAATGTATCGGATTACTAACTGTACCTGTTAACCCATTTTTCACGAGCTTTCATTTGGTATAAAATTCAATATTGATATTATTTGCCATTGGAGCTATACTCTCCTAGCAAAACATTTTTCGCAACCCTGTACATATCATATATTTTATTTTATATTCACATCAGTTTTACAGATCACTGAGTGAATGATTCTTTTTATATCTACCATTTTGAAATAGTCCTAACGATTCACAATTGCTGCTATATATCTAAGTCTAACAAACTTTGTTTCAATGCTTTTCTTTGACTAGAAAAATCGCTTTTCAAAGTAGAATTAACGATCTTTTTCCAAATTATGAGAGATTGAATGCCATTTCGTCTCAATTAGAAACTTCTTTGACTTCATACAGACCGTTTTTAAAGCATTGAAATGGTTCGATCTATAGAGTAGTCTTATTACTAGTTTTTTGAATCAAGGAGATTGACCATACTACGGTGTTATAGCTCTCCATTGATTATTTAGTGATCAGTCGTGATTTGGATTCACCTCTCACTCAACGTGAACATGCTGCTGTCAATGAATGGCTTGCAACGAAGGTTATTTTTCATGCCATGAGAGACCATCCTCGTCATAATACACCACTGTTAGCGGGAATGTGGGGATTTCGATCTGAACTGGACAGAACACTCTCATTTCATATTCTCAACAAATTGCTAAATAAAACACTTATTCAAGCCTATCTAGGGGTGGGTGATCAACCATTTCTGGTGAAGGAAGTATGGCCTCATGTGGAAAATTCGTCTCTCATTCACGACAGCTTTCATTGCCGCAGTTTTAAAGGACGTGGAAGACCATTCCCAACTCAAAGACCTTTGATCAATGGTAGCAACATTTTTGTCGGATGTATCAAACCATGTCGTTATGATCAATACGTTTTCGGTGAATGTCCTATTACTTGTAGACCTAAGAATCACCAAGATTGGATCTACTGCTGAATCCACCAAAATCAGAACAATTATTTTCTGATCCAATTCAAAGTTCTATTCAACGGGAAACGTCGATAAACAATATGATATTCATTTATGTGTGCTGGTCTTCCCTACGAGTCGTACTATCGTTTTCTTTCTTTGGTTCATTTGATAATAATGTCTTGACTGATGATTATTGTAAAATTTTCATGTTTCAAAGTGTAGGACTTCTTCATTCCATCATCTTATCTTTTTTGAGATTGAAGAAAATTCAGATGAATTTGTTCAACTTGATTAATACTGGAGAGATTCGCTTGGTAGAGTTGGTAATGTATATTGTTAATCAGACGATAGAAATTGTGCGTCTAGAGGAGTGGTGGTCCTTAAGAACACTGATGTCATAAGAATCCGTTTTTCTAGATTATGCATCGACGTGTACGAGTTGTCATCTGCCTTGTAGGATTATTTCTAGTATTGGTAGTATTCTTATACTCGAGACTGACATTTTCTAGGGAAACATTTAGTTACCCACCTATATTGTGCAAATACGGTGAGTATATATTAGTTTATCAAATGGTCTAATTTATTTTTCATTGAAGATCAACAGGCCAATACTGAATTTGTACCACCAGAAATGCGCTCATCAGTGAAAAATAGCTCAATGTGCTATTCGGTCACTGATTTATTGACCATTACAGAGTGGAAACAAGAAAAATTATTGAATAGAATTCATCGACATCCTGTGCACTTAATCAGTCAATGGTATCAGGAAATGAACATGCGTAGGCGTCACGAATTCATCAATGTTTTGCACATGAATGTGATCAATGATGCAGTAACAAATATTCATCTGTTGCAACCATATAATGCGACTTGTACTGTCGAACATGATGTTCAGGCAGATCCAAGTTTTCCGTTTGCTCTTTTCAAATCCAAGTTGATAATTCGATCTCTTAAAAAATCATCGTCTGAGCGTTTGACTATTCAAGAAGCTATCGATTATGCTAATGAAAACATTTATTCAGGCTATGCTATTCTCATCAATCTGGACATTTTCTTCGATCGAAGCTTGACACTTCTATCGAGCTCTCCGATGATCGATTGTAAGGCAGCTTTTTATCTCTCTCGATATGAGATTGACCCAAATATCACTGCACTCGGTGTTCAATGCTCGAACAGATATGTAGGCAGCCATGATGTTCTTATTTTTCATCCACCCATTTCACCTAATATATCTCGTCAACTATCATTCGAAATTGGCACATGGAATGTAGAAATGAAAATAGTTTATGAGCTCATTCATCATGGTTACACAGTGCGAAATGTCTGCAAGTCGCTGCGTGCATGGCATTTACATTCTAGTCAAGTGCGACATCGCATAATGCCTTGGAAGAAGATCATATCTGACAATTTACTTCAATTGACTCTACGCTATCCTGAAACTCTCTAACGATGATTTAACATCTATAATTTATTAGACTATTTATGCCGTTACATTTCAGAGGAGGTTGATGGGGAGTCTAAAGAAGACTCGCACCTATGATGCTGTTGGCAGTTCCAAATTAATCATTCTAATTCATACCATCTGTTCATTTTCTACTTTTATTCATCGGTACATGAAATTAATTTACTATCTAATTATACATTATATATGTTTTCTGATGGGGACAAATTATATGTTCAATGTTTTTTTGTAAATGTTCAGTAAAATTTGTTCAGCATTATATGCGAATTTTCAGTAAAGAAATCAAGCTATCAGTATAAAATCCAATGTTCGGTAACTATTATGTTTGTTCAGTTAACTAATTGCTTTCTCAGTAAATTCATAAATTGCCCAGTATTAAAATTAGTTTCAGTAATTAATTGAGTGTGCTGATTCGAGTTTCAGATTTCGCTTCGCGAGTCATCCTGATGTCAGTCCCCGTTCTGCATCTATGATCCAATTTTCCACTAGCTGGTGGTTGTTTGCGTTTAATTTCCGCAAGATTCTACTAGAATCGACTTATTTTCCACAGGTTACGCCTCGTTTGAAAGCTGTCTCGAGGGTGTGGGTGTGGGTGGCTGGGTGTGGGTATGGGTGTACGGTGTTATGGTAATACACATCGTCATTCACACTCACACCACACCCACCCACACCCACACCCCCCACCCACCCCCATACCCACACCCACCCCCGCACACCCCCCCCCA